AACATATCACAATGATAGCTGATTTAATATATGTTATAGAGGGAGAGTTTGTATTGGTTATGAGCGCGGTGTTGGTAGCCATGACATCGGAGAAGTAAGCCTTTTCTTCATCTGTGGTTAGGTTAAATGTGGATGAATGTAAAGATTTTGAAATCTCCTTTACGGCTTTAAATGGGTTTTTTTACCACAGGGACCTAGTATTTGGCTTCCTAGTTTTAAGGGTGCTACAAAACGTCTGCCAATGTTATTTTTACTAATATCTTGAATGGACTGTGTAATATGTGACGGTGTGGCAGAGGTACTTGGCTGGCCGCAATGGAGCCTGGGTAGGGTAGTGATTGGCTTCGAACGACCACGGCATATATATATAATAATAGCGGCTTGACCAACACTGGTTTCTAATCCAGTCAAAATGGCAATTAGCATATTGTAACTCATCAGTATGAAACACACACGAACCTTCTCTTCGATTTGTTCTTATTAAATCATGAGCGAAGCCTGTTATTCTGCGCAGCGCTTGGGTGTGCGGAGTAAAGGTGTGACGTCACACACGGACACTTTCATCTTTTTTGGAGCTTTACAAAACCTTCCAGTGAGTGAGTGAGTATGGTTTACGCCGCTTTTAGCAATATTCCAGCAATATCACGGCGGGGAACACCAGAAATGGGCTTCACACATTGTACCCATGTCGGGAATGGAACCCGAGTCTTCGGCGTGACGAGCGAACGCTTAAACCACTAGGCTACCCGACCGCCCCTCAAATCCTTCCATCATTCGTACATAAGACACCTGAAGATATATAACCTGATGGACTTGACCTTGTCATATAAAGCTCAGTCTTTGATATATAATTAGTTACAGATTTTGAGTTTCCATCATACAGCATGGTCTTCAGATTTTCCCAATGAGTTTTAAGATCCAGTGGTGTGTTTGCGATTAATACTGTGTCATCAGCAAAACCTTCCCACATTCGTTAATACATCACAATAGATATACTATTCTTTGACAATATGCTTTGGTTGGTTGGTTTGTTGTTTTACGTCGCACTCGCCAATATTCCAGCTATATGACGACTGTCTGTAAATAATCGAGTATGGACCAGACAATCCAGTGATCCAGTGAATCCAGCCATGATAGGAAAAAAAATAATGTGTTTTAATGTTTTAATATATGTAATGTTTAGATTTATATTTCCATTGAATGCACTTGATACTTCCATGATCTGATTAGGAGAAACACCTTCATCCACCAGTTTCTGTAGAAGGTGCTTTCTCATTCTGAAAAGTAACACATATATTCGTCAATTGATATTTTGTCTTATCAATTATAATATTCTGGGAAGAAATAACTTAATATGGTAAGTTTTGGTTTATACTTATTCAAATTATTAGCCATTTGATTAATGGTCAGTGGCAGAAAACTCAGTGAGAGTACACACACTGTAAATGATTTTATTGCACATATTTTTTAATAGTCATATTATTAAATATTACCTGTACGGTGTGATCCGTTTCTCTTGAGCAAGTTTGGCTCCATCCTTCATCTCATCGCATTCATTATGCTGTATCACTTATTTAAGCCCATTGTAGAGTTCTTGTAACAGGGTGAACCTGCCTTTCCTCCATGGTTGATGGCGCGGAGCATTTAAGTAGGACGATTCTCCCGATACATCTTGTAGCATGCCACTGGATCCCTGTCAGGTTGTTCTGGAATGCTGTATGCACAGGGCTTCCTGTGGATGTCATTAGGATTGGCTCCACTACGTGTCTTCGACTGACGCTCTGATGTAAATATTAAATATTAGCCCTGTTCTCCTTCCCTCAGTTCTACACGCCCCTCACACACACGCACGCACACACACACACACACACACACACACACACACACACACACACACACACACACACACACACACACACACACACACACAAACACACACACACAAACACACACACACATACAAAATACAAAATATGCCACATGGAAAGTAAAAGGCTCGTCTGATTTGCTAGGCCAAGAGTTCCGGCTTCATACATGGCATCCAAGTCACTATCTGTTAGCTCATCAGCAGCTCTTGGTTTGTTCCCTTTGCCTTTCGCCTTAAAATCCTTAGATTTAGCCTTCATAATTTCTCTGTTTTCCAAATTTCTCACAATTAATCACACTATGACCATATGATTTTGATTTTAGATGTCGCTCAAAGGATGAGAGAAGGTTTCTCAGTGAGGAAGGGTCGTACTCCGATTCAGCTTTCTTCCTAACAGAACTTGCTGAGATAGTCATCAAGGACAGGTGGCTCAATCTCCTCAGTGGCCCTTACCTCACCTTCTTGCGCCAGACACTGCTTTAAGAGATTCAGGTCGAACATGTTTTTGTTTTTTTGTGTTTTCATTTGCATGTTCTTCCAGATATTTGTTAAATCACCAGTACTTTTCCTTCGAAAATCTGTGAAGCTTATTTTGCGGGACATACTGGATAGGTTCAACTTAATCCTGGATAGGTTTTGTTTGTTGCTGGATACGTTCTGTTTGTTCAAGAAATCTTAAGTCCCAATCTGCCAGGAAAACATCCATTTCACTCCTTTTAAGTGTGTCCATGTTTTATTAGCATTTACACTTACAATTAAGGGGATGTAACTGTTGTTAGAAAAAAGTTCCGTAAAAGTGTTATGTTCACTGCAGTGAAATATCAAGTGCTATGTTCACTCTAATGAAAATATCACTTTTCTACACTTCAGAAAACTCAGTCTTTCACACTGAAGTGTATAATAAAACATGGTCTTTAAATATTCATGTGACATTTATAAGATTCAGTGTTGTGTCCGCGACTAAAATTGTGTCATCAGCATGAGTCAAAAGCAGTATGGTACGATTCCGACAAGACGTCAGAAGCAGGTGTAAATGAATCACTATGAAATGGCACCAGGAGTTCTCGAACCACCAGCCACGCAGCCTTCTAATATTGCAGAATGGGGTCGAGCATTGTCTTGTTGGAAGAGTAGAAACCCAATGGCTGCTGGTGAAGGGATGGCAGCAGTGTGTGCAGGGAACCTGCGTCCCGATACCTGTGTGAATTACGGTAGCCTCGAATGATAACAGACCTTGTGTTCAAATCCCACACATTGCTGCCCAGACCATGATACTGCCCCACTCCGTCCTTACCCTTGAACTTCCTGGACACACGTCTGAATCCACGGACGCCGACCATCAGGTGTGACCAGAGAAACCCTGCTCTCTTCAGAGTATACAACACGTACCAAATCACGCACTTGCCAATGGCGAACCCTACTGGCCTACCTCAATCTGTCACGTCGGTGTTGCGTCACCCCGTGACACAGGTTTTTCGGGTTACATTTGAATAGTTTAAAACTACACCCACTATTACAACCGACACTTCTAACAACCAACATTGTTGGCAATGCGTTTATTGATATATTTAACTGTACATTCTACGAACTAACAAACAACGAAAACGAAAATTAAATTAATCCAATTACATGCAACTGACGCAGATAGAATAAACAGTATCGATGCACAAGATGCAGTAGAAACGCCACTCGAGTCATACGTGTATATGGTCAATGCCCAACGGAACGCGACAATCGAAATGGTCGTTACAATGGCAAGCCCACATACTCGGACAATTCCTATACTAATAAGGCTGTTTATTTGTTGTCAGACAGACAGACAGACAGACAGACAGAGGACAGATTGTCTGTCTGTCTGTATTTGTTGTCCAACAGACGGCGGTCCGCTATAATCAACTATACATCAGATCCATTTTGTTTCCTCATACGACATCATGCATTCAATTTTGCTTTGTACACTGCAAAGTAGCAAGGCTGTAATAGAGATGTCAAGAGGGCAATATATGACAGATTCCTCATAACAGACTGTCCTAACGGTCACAATATCAAGTGCTGGCAACGTTCGCCTGAGGCAAGTGACGTCTAAGATTAGAACATAACTGTATACGTTATAACCGTCGTACGTGACGTCTCTCAGTGTGTGAAAAGAACAACAAACTACGAATATTGTAAGCTACCAGCAATAGAAATGCATCACGTTAAATGTACCAGTGCCTGACCATTACAAATGACTATCAACCAGGTAGCCGGTCAATTTAGATGTCATTTGCAACTAGTTTGCATAGGATCAATTCTAACCCGGAAACCAGACATCAACACTTTTTAAGAATGTACGAATTAATCCTGGAATGAGTTAATCTGAAGCTCATCAATGAAACTGTTACTGTTGGTTAACAGGGGATTCTCATTGTATACATTAAATGTATATACATGAACACACATGTGTCTACGTATATGTAGTATAGGAACGTCAAAGAAGCATTTTGTAATACGTTTGACAATTCTACTTCAACGGCGCGAAAGAGCAGTATATCATATGCTAAAAGGATAACTACTATCCATGATTATCACTTGTGAGTATTGAAAACAATGTTTGATGTATGGTTATATTCTATCTTTGTGTCTGATATGTGAAAGTACATAGGGAACGGCATTCACAATGAGAAGTGTTGGTAATAATATTATGAGTTTATTTATTAAGTTTGTTCATACAAGGAGATCATCCCTCGAAACTGCATCTATTTTCCTTGCGCCGTGCTTATATTCAGCTTCTCCATCTTTCTCCTTCGACTGGACCGCCTCCGTGGTCTTGTGGTAGAACGTCCGCCCGGAGAGCGGAAGGTCCAGGGTTCGATCCCGGGCCGCGTCATACAAAAAGACGTTAAAAGATTGTACTTGTTGTTACCCTGTCTGGAGTTAGGCATTAAGGGGCTAAAACAAGGACTGGTCGGCTCGGAGTCAGTATACTGTGTCTGAGTGGGGTATTCATGTTAAACTGCGGCATGGTATCTCAGTGAGCTAGCACTATAAATCGGCATCAGTCCGGACTAGTACAAGCAGCCACACACACACATACACGTGCATGCACGTCGCTATATAAGTGCAATAATCTTGGACGCGACGATAAACCCAATTTCACCTCACCTCTCCTTCGACTGAGATTCAAGTGGAATCAGCTGAACAGGAGATGCATCTGCAGCCTTGTACGCACTCCTGTAAGCAACGAATTAGGTGCTTCACATAAAATGTATGTTTATGTCATTTATATACAATATGGTCGCGATTATACATTGACATACAAAGATCTATATTCAGGTTCCAGTGACACTTTGCAGCTGTGTTTTGGGATGTAATCGGGTCCAGTTACGCTGACCAATTTGTATCCGTGACCTACATACAAATATGGGTTTTGACTCGAAATTCAAGATTTTAAAACCTTTTCTTTACCAAGGAGACTGACAGATGTATTTAAAATAAAAGTCACCGAAGCTGGACTGAAACTGACCGTTAACATTTCGAAAGATGTACTGAAACTGATCGGTAATTGAACTGAAATTGCAAGAAAATTGGGCTGAAAGTGAAATTAAATATGGTCTTGAAACCGAAACTAGATTGGAATCGGACACTGAGCGTTAATTTTACAAATAGGGTACTGAACCAGAAATTCGAATAAAACTGAAATTGACACTGATCGGTAATTGGACCCAAGCTTCAAATAAATTAGGTTAAAAATGAAATTAAAATTGCCTTATTGGCCAGACGAGATTTAAACAGCAAAAATACTTACCATACCTGAATTTGAGTCAGCTACTAGACTGAAACCGATCACAAGACTAGGACTGATGCTGAGACTAAAAACGTCACTGAAGTGACAGCTATTAAAACTACTTACGTCCCGAGCATCTCAGCTTCCTTGATGGTTTCCGGTAGCTTCTTGTTCACTGTTTCCGGGAGAAGCAGAGCCAGAAGGGCCGCCAAGATTGTGATACCCCCGAATACCAGCATGGGGAGAATCTGACCAAAACGTCCGGATAAGTACATCGTCTGAAATGTAGGGTTATTTATAAGTGTTTTATTTCATATGGTGACATCAAAGTGCTGGCATTGGTTTCCACGCATTGCTATGTTTATCGTTATTGTGACCATATGACCATGGCTCCTCGGTTATTTACAGGTCATACCCAGGGTCACCAAGTATTCAAGAGTCCCAGTTAACAAAGAGGTCCTCCAGTTAGTTAAAACGTTACAAGGGACTACCTTGGATTCGCACTGTTAACCATGATCTCCAAGAAACAAGTATCTAAAACGTCAACACATAATTCCACCAGTTATCTCACAATTAACCAATAGCGCTGCAGTTACCTTGTAGTTTGCCCATAGTACCATCAGTTATCTTGTACTTAACCCATGATCCTCCAATAGTACCATCAGTTATCTTGTACTTAACCCATGATCCTCCAATAGTACCATCAGTTATCTTGTACTTAACCCATGATCCTCCAATAGTACCATCAGTTATCTTGTACTTAACCCATGATCCTCCAATAGTACCATCAGTTATCTTGTACTTAACCCATGATCCTCCAATAGTACCATCAGTTATCTTGTACTTAACCCATGATCCTCCAATAGTACCATCAGTTATCTTGTACTTAACCCATGATCCTCCAATAGTACCATCAGTTATCTTGTACTTAACCCATGATCCTCCAATAGTACCATCAGTTATCTTGTACTTAACCCATGATCCTCCAATAGTACCATCAGTTATCTTGTACTTAACCCATGATCCTCCAATAGTACCATCAGTTATCTTGTACTTAACCCATGATCCTCCAATAGTACCATCAGTTATCTTGTACTTAACCCATGATCCTCCAATAGTACCATCAGTTATCTTGTACTTAACCCATGATCCTCCAATAGTACCATCAGTTATCTTGTACTTAACCCATGATCCTCCAATAGTACCATCAGTTATCTTGTACTTAACCCATGATCCTCCAATAGTACCATCAGTTATCTTGTACTTAACCCATGATCCTCCAATAGTACCATCAGTTATCTTGTACTTAACCCATGATCCTCCAATAGTACCATCAGTTATCTTGTACTTAACCCATGATCCTCCAATAGTACCATCAGTTATCTTGTACTTAACCCATGATCCTCCAATAGTACCATCAGTTATCTTGTACTTAACCCATGATCCTCCAATAGTACCATCAGTTATCTTGTACTTAACCCATGATCCTCCAATAGTACCATCAGTTATCTTGTACTTAACCCATGATCCTCCAATAGTACCATCAGTTATCTTGTACTTAACCCATGATCCTCCAATAGTACCATCAGTTATCTTGTACTTAACCCATGATCCTCCAATAGTACCATCAGTTATCTTGTACTTAACCCATGATCCTCCAATAGTACCATCAGTTATCTTGTACTTAACCCATGATCCTCCAATAGTACCATCAGTTATATTGTACTTAACCCATGATCCTCCAATAGTACCATCAGTTATCTTGTACTTAACCCATGATCCTCCAATAGTACCATCAGTTATCTTGTACTTAACCCATGATCCTCCAATAGTACCATCAGTTATCTTGTACTTAACCCATGATCCTCCAATAGTACCATCAGTTATCTTGTACTTAACCCATGATCCTCCAATAGTACCATCAGTTATCTTGTACTTAACCCATGATCCTCCAATAGTACCATCAGTTATCTTGTACTTAACCCATGATCCTCCAATAGTACCATCAGTTATCTTGTACTTAACCCATGATCCTCCAATAGTACCATCAGTTATCTTGTACTTAACCCATGATCCTCCAATAGTACCATCAGTTATCTTGTACTTAACCCATGATCCTCCAATAGTACCATCAGTTATCTTGTACTTAACCCATGATCCTCCAATAGTACCATCAGTTATCTTGTACTTAACCCATGATCCTCCAATAGTACCATCAGTTATCTTGTACTTAACCCATGATCCTCCAATAGTACCATCAGTTATCTTGTACTTAACCCATGATCCTCCAATAGTACCATCAGTTATCTTGTACTTAACCCATGATCCTCCAATAGTACCATCAGTTATCTTGTACTTAACCCATGATCCTCCAATAGTACCATCAGTTATCTTGTACTTAACCCATGATCCTCCAATAGTACCATCAGTTATCTTGTACTTAACCCATGATCCTCCAATAGTACCATCAGTTATCTTGTACTTAACCCATGATCCTCCAATAGTACCATCAGTTATCTTGTACTTAACCCATGATCCTCCAATAGTACCATCAGTTATCTTGTACTTAACCCATGATCCTCCAATAGTACCATCAGTTATCTTGTACTTAACCCATGATCCTCCAATAGTACCATCAGTTATCTTGTACTTAACCCATGATCCTCCAATAGTACCATCAGTTATCTTGTACTTAACCCATGATCCTCCAATAGTACCATCAGTTATCTTGTACTTAACCCATGATCCTCCAATAGTACCATCAGTTATCTTGTACTTAACCCATGATCCTCCAATAGTACCATCAGTTATCTTGTACTTAACCCATGATCCTCCAATAGTACCATCAGTTATCTTGTACTTAACCCATGATCCTCCAATAGTACCATCAGTTATCTTGTACTTAACCCATGATCCTCCAATAGTACCATCAGTTATCTTGTACTTAACCCATGATCCTCCAATAGTACCATCAGTTATCTTGTACTTAACCCATGATCCTCCAATAGTACCATCAGTTATCTTGTACTTAACCCATGATCCTCCAATAGTACCATCAGTTATCTTGTACTTAACCCATGATCCTCCAATAGTACCATCAGTTATCTTGTACTTAACCCATGATCCTCCAATAGTACCATCAGTTATCTTGTACTTAACCCATGATCCTCCAATAGTACCATCAGTTATCTTGTACTTAACCCATGATCCTCCAATAGTACCATCAGTTATCTTGTACTTAACCCATGATCCTCCAATAGTACCATCAGTTATCTTGTACTTAACCCATGATCCTCCAATAGTACCATCAGTTATCTTGTACTTAACCCATGATCCTCCAATAGTACCATCAGTTATCTTGTACTTAACCCATGATCCTCCAATAGTACCATCAGTTATATTGTACTTAACCCATGATCCTCCAATAGTACCATCAGTTATCTTGTACTTAACCCATGATCCTCCAATAGTACCATCAGTTATCTTGTACTTAACCCATGATCCTCCAATAGTACCATCAGTTATCTTGTACTTAACCCATGATCCTCCAATAGTACCATCAGTTATCTTGTACTTAACCCATGATCCTCCAATAGTACCATCAGTTATCTTGTACTTAACCCATGATCCTCCAATAGTACCATCAGTTATCTTGTACTTAACCCATGATCCTCCAATAGTACCATCAGTTATCTTGTACTTAACCCATGATCCTCCAATAGTACCATCAGTTATCTTGTACTTAACCCATGATCCTCCAATAGTACCATCAGTTATCTTGTACTTAACCCATGATCCTCCAATAGTACCATCAGTTATCTTGTACTTAACCCATGATCCTCCAATAGTACCATCAGTTATCTTGTACTTAACCCATGATCCTCCAATAGTACCATCAGTTATCTTGTACTTAACCCATGATCCTCCAATAGTACCATCAGTTATCTTGTACTTAACCCATGATCCTCCAATAGTACCATCAGTTATCTTGTACTTAACCCATGATCCTCCAATAGTACCATCAGTTATCTTGTACTTAACCCATGATCCTCCAATAGTACCATCAGTTATCTTGTACTTAACCCATGATCCTCCAATAGTACCATCAGTTATCTTGTACTTAACCCATGATCCTCCAATAGTACCATCAGTTATCTTGTACTTAACCCATGATCCTCCAATAGTACCATCAGTTATCTTGTACTTAACCCATGATCCTCCAATAGTACCATCAGTTATCTTGTACTTAACCCATGATCCTCCAATAGTACCATCAGTTATCTTGTACTTAACCCATGATCCTCCAATAGTACCATCAGTTATCTTGTACTTAACCCATGATCCTCCAATAGTACCATCAGTTATCTTGTACTTAACCCATGATCCTCCAATAGTACCATCAGTTATCTTGTACTTAACCCATGATCCTCCAATAGTACCATCAGTTATCTTGTACTTAACCCATGATCCTCCAATAGTACCATCAGTTATCTTGTACTTAACCCATGATCCTCCAATAGTACCATCAGTTATCTTGTAGTTACCACATAGTTGCCCCCGTTATCTTGTTCTCCAAACATTGACCCAGGTTAACCCATATCATCCATCAGGTATTGAGTAGCTAACCCATAGCTCACCCAGATAACTTGTTAACCCACGCTTAATCGTGTTATCTCATACTTCCCCAGCTATCTTGCCGTAAACCGATAGTTCCATCATTTATCTCACAGTTATCCCATAGGTCACCTATTTACCAGGTATTCTATTAACCCATCGAAAAACGTATAATCTCACAGTTATGCCTTAGTTGCACAGTTATCGTGTAGTTTACCCATAGGTCTCCAGTTGTCTCGTTGTTAACACACATTTGCTCAGTTATTTCATTGTTAGGAAATATTTCCCCAGTTATCTTATAGTGAACCCATAACTCCGCCGGTTATCTCATAGTTAATCACAGGCCCCCCAGTCATCTTTTGTTATCACCCGGTTGTGTCAAACCCCAGTTCCACAGCAGGTTTGTTCTGTATTATTTCCTCAATGTCATGGCTATTGTAAAGCCTCTCTACTCTTAAGGATTAACATTATATATTTACTACACTTTACCATTTCATCATACTCATCCTTTAAGAAGTCGCAATGATTTTATAAATCTAAACATATAAACCCTACAATCACAAAGATTTCATAAACTCACCAAGTCAACAATATAGGGAGACAGTAGACTTCCAACTCTACAGCAAATTGAACTCATTGACATGCCAAATGTCCTTGATGTGGTTGGCATGAGTTCAGCTGTGAAGGTGTAGACGGCACACATGGCAGCAGAGGCACACGTGTTTCCTACAATGGCGAGGATGTTGATGGCCCACTTCTCAGCTAATGGACAGAGAGGCAGAGTTTGTTACAGGAAAGGGATATTTACAAAGGGCAAATCGGAATATGTTTTCTGACATAATTCTATATTACTCTTTTACCATATCCACCTTTGTTGTTTTTCGTCATTCAAATTAATTTAATTGTTGCTGATTTTTATACATTACAGACAAGATGAAAAATATACAGGTATTTTCTACAAGGTAAATATTTAAATTGGATAAGCTTGTGATTAATTTAAGCAATTTGTATGTTACATGTGACAGGTGAGGTGATATACCTGTTAAAGGTTATTTAACTCATAATGTGATGTGCGGCTGCTTGCACTTGTTTGTACACATGCCCTTTTTTTACTGCTAACCCACGGAACATGGATACCAAACAAAAATACATTATTGACACAATCCTAGCCAGCATTTCTTGTATCCTTTCAAGGCACCAAGAACCATATTAACATCTTTTAATATGGCGTGGCCACGGGAGCGACTGTGTATTGTATATATATTGTACTGTTTGTTGTTTAACGCAACACGCAATATTCTAGCTATATGACGGCGGTCTGTAAAATAATCGAGTCTGGACCAGACAATCCAGTTGTTAATATCATGCGCATCGCATGGGCTGCTGAAGACCAATTCTACCCCACACCTTCACGGGTCGGATCGACTGTCAGATGTCTCAATATTGTAAAGGAACAAAGAAAATGTACGCTTTGTAATGATGCTATTGGAGATATTTAGGTTCTTTCTGCAATTTATTATTCAACTATAATCAGTTACCTGTCATAAGTATGCAAATGTGTGAATTCTAGAAATGACACATTGGATTTAATTCAGGGATCAAGAACATAAGTATACTTGTACGTGTTTGTGCATTCTGATATTGACACTTACGTGTATCTGAAACTAGTACTGGAATCAAAGGAAGAATGCATGCTGCCCCGGTTAGCGATAGAGATATACACAGCAACAACTTGCGTCCGATACGATCCATTAGGAAAAAACAGGAAATATAAGCTAGAACCTCTGAGAATAGGATGAATAAGAAGAAGTTGAGGTAGATGCTTCCAGAGAGGTTGGTGACGTTCATGCTGAGGCCGTAGAAACCCATTCCAGCTGCAAACCTGAAGAGACATTAAAAGATGGTGATAAAGCATAAAAGAGAAGGAATCTTACGAATGACAATTGTCTTATTTCTCGCTAGAATCACCTGTGTGAGCAAAATAAACAAAAAGATATTGCAAAAGGAGTACAAAACTTAAACGCGTTTCCAACGACTTGCACTTATGTCTGCTTATATTCCGTCATGACTTTTTTCCCAATGATTATACCTTTCCCAAGAAGATGTTGTTAGTAACGACTATCTACAATCATAGCATTAACTAACGGGTGCTTAATAGGAACTAACATTAACAATAAACACCTGCATCTTTTTCAAACATTGTTAATTTCAATTACTGTCTGGAGTGCATTTGGAAACTAGTTTTCACATACATTACTATCAAACGTTTGAGAACAGAGAACTGATAATTTGGGGAACAACCTCGTACCAATTATAGCAGATGATAATCATTCGACGCATCATCACTGAAGACTTCAAAAGATTCCAGAATGGTTCTTGTTTAACTTCTTCATTTTCAATATCGATCTCATCAAGAACATTTAGATCTACTTTCACTTTGTTCTTCTTCGCAATAGTTGCCACTATCCGTTTAGCTTCCTCCTTTTTTCCATGTTTGAGCAGCCACGTTGGGGACTCTGGGATAAAACTGTGTGGTGGATAAATATAGTTTAGTTGTTTTCTTGTAAATCTCAAGAATATATTATGAACCATATGATATGTTCATGATGTAACGAAATACTTATACTTGTAAGAATACTACCTCTGTTACATCACTGCCATAAATCCTGAATTTTGGCTGACATCACACTATAAAATCTTCCGATTTTCTCCTCACACAGATATTCATTAATAGTTGTGCAGACAATAGGCTTATACTGTCCATTGCTCTTGCGCATGCCCAAGGCGGGAAACTTCACTTTTTTCAAGCAAACATCATCCTAGATGGAGATAGTTTGAGAAGTGGGAGGGATTACTCCTAAAGTTAAAGAGTCGGTATTGTTAGATTTTTTAACAATGATAACTATTGTTTTATAATTCCTCTGTATATGCCACCTGTTTTACATCACTGCCAGATTATACCAGAGGGATTTCGACAGTTAACAGTTGTTCGTGGGTACCTTATGAATTCACAAGATGATAGATCAAGATTAGGTGAACATCGTAACATAAGAGGCCTACTTCAGAAGATGCCAAGAATATAAGCAAATGTACTACCGAAAACAAATATGGGAACTAATGATTTCAGTGAAGCTATTGTTGCGTTGTACATTTACGATACCGTGGCGTTGCATCTGAATGCAACATCTCATCACAATGACATTTCACATCATGGATGAACAGGGCGTGATATTCTTGAACACAGAAACCAAAGGGGACTGACAATCTCTATTAAATACAGTTGTCATAAAACCACGCTTACAAATGCCTCCGAGGCAGTTTGTAAGACAAAACGGTGTATTGTGGGAGAAATACCAAGTTGCCCGAATGTGTGCACACAAAATGTGTAATTTTTTTACTGTGAGACAATTACCATCAAACAGTTGGAGTTGCAATGACATCTGGACGTGGCAGGCCTGCAAAACGACACCTAGGCAATACCGTCTCATTACAATAACTGCACTATGCAGTAGATTCAAATCTGTTCCTGTTATCAATAGAGAAGTCCATACCATAATAGGAAGGCGAATTTCAATATCCATCATCAACAACCGGTTCTATGCAGCCCGCCCGAAAGCAATGTGTCCTGTAAAGAGCGGTACCCTAACAGCTTACCAAAGGGGGCAAAGATTTGGGTGGGCTGGGCAACACGAGGGACGGGCTCTGCGTGAGACTTTACTAAACAAACTGTTGTTAAAGGAAAAGGCTCATCATTCGAGTTCTACAACTGGTTACAATAACTACAGTCGTCACCGATCATCTCCGATGAGTAGGCATACGGGCAGTGGACTGGCAGTGGACTGGCCTGCTATGTCCCCTGACATGTTCTCAATAGGGCATCTGTGGTATGTTCATTCGAGTTCTACAGCTAGTTACAATAACTACAGTCGTCACCAATCATCTCTGATAAGAAGGCATACGGACACTGGACTGGCCTGCTAAGTCCCCTGAAATGTCCTCAATTGGGCAACTGTGGTATGTTCTCGGGAGGATAATGTACGCCAGTGACCCAGCACCTGCCACTGTGGCCCAGCCTGGAGTAGCTCTTCAGGCGGAATGTCGGGCAATACCAAGGGCATCAGTACGGTAAGATAATATACAGCATGCCATCAGGGTGTCGTGCATGTTTGGGCCAACATACCAGATATTATCTACGCACCGAAATTAATTTTACAGACATTAACGTCATTCACAACCATTTCACTAATAGTTCTGTAGGTTTATGCCAACAACACAACTGTATTCTTTCCATGTGTAAAATTACATTATGTACATAAAACTTAAGATTTGATTTCCCAGTCAATGTACTTACAATAAATAAGCAAAGACAACCGCCGGGACACTGACAATCAGCTGTCGAGTCTTCCAGTCCCTGAAGAGATAGGCCGTTAGAGCTGTGATCATGTTTCCCGCACTCCAGAAGAGGTTCATGGCAACACCTGCCCACATGCGCTTAGAAGGACCGACTATCTCCATGCCTGTTTGTAACATAAATGGTTAGCGTTTAATGTCAGTTAGTAAGTGTGTGTGAGTGAGTGAGTTAATATTTAAAGTCACAGCAGCAATATTTCAGCCATATAGTGACTAAATCAAGTTATATATTAATACATAGTGACATTAAAATCTGTCGACAAAGGACAGTAAAAACACTAGACTATCACAGATGTAGATTTAAAACTAACATATCATAATAGAATTCATAACAATTCGGAACAGTACACAATAAAAATGGGCTATAATAACCAAAGGTAGGTCACCATACTAGGTACCATGGGGACTTACGATACTTCTGCTACCTACATGGTAACCCAGCAGGATTTACACCATCCCTCTGGCTAAAAAACAAGAATTCTTCGATTAAAAACATGGAAAATGAAAAATACTTTGAATGAAATGGGACTTACATACCTTCTCAGGGGGACAATTATTTTACGGTACTTCAACCCCCTTTGAAGGTACAGCCACCAACAATCTCAGTTATTAGTTCATTCTACAAAATTAAAATCACATACTTTTTACATTACATATCAAAATTTATCAATCAATTCGATTTCTTTTTAAAATCCAAGAATTAAACGAGGACTTACAGTAAAAAGATCCTTTATGGATGAAACCTTGAAATAATTATCCCTTGTGATGGAATAATCGATACAGTCAAGCAAAACATGGATTCGAACCCACAATCATATGTTTCTGGCGTGCCCAAGGGACGCAACTCTGCACAGCGAATCGCGGCGCCTTGTACGACTGGGCCAACTCCGCAACTCTTACTCTGAGCTGTCTCCATCAACATTCATGTACCGGCCCTTACATACGCGGACTTTACACAGCACATGGGTTATACTCACATACTTTTAATAACGCTCCAGTCCATCTTCAAATACATGTACAACTTCTACATAAGACAGACAAGACTCGTCATCGACTGGACAAACAGAGTGATATCGATCTGCCTCAGTCACTGCCAGAACCGCGCCACTTTACTAGTGCAGAACGTATCTTTTAAAAGGAGTCGAGACTAACCTTTCTTTTTCACATGTCACAATACCTCAGTTTGATTCGTTCAACGTTTGATCTGACCATGAACTCATGTGTGTCGTAATCGGGAACATACCGAAGCCTACGTGCCTCTAATTGATTTTGTGACTCATTCCGGATTCTACAACTGAAAAGAATCTTACCTGTCTGCTTGATTCATTAACTTATCGACGATAATACTGATCCAATCCAATGATAAAAATGAAATGTTCAGAAAACTCTTGTGATAAATGTGAAATGTCTTTTCTCTATTAATTCCTTTCTAACTAAAAGTTCTCTGTCACGGACTTAGTATATCTAATGCAACTCATCGTTGCAGCTATGAACGGTTTAATTTATTACAATTTTGTTACCATTTTCTCATGTTTTTGAGACGCATTTTAACGTATAACAGAGTGGTGGATAAAAATCCGCTTATAGATGCTTTTGTTTATGTAGAAACATCAACGGTGCCCAATGTCTCCCTTCGAACATCATGTTCCCATGTGACAAAATACACAGCTTAATCAACAACCAAACCGGTACTTTGGGAACTGGCATTCACGTGAGCGGAATATATTTTGTCGGAGAGAAATTTACTAGCTCCCGAAGGAGCTATATATTGTGTGCGTCAGCCGTTCATAAACCGGTGGCCCTGCCGCTGCTGGAGCGGTCCCGGGATATCTTGTATAGACCTGACTGAAGACTTGATTTAAATAATAAATTAGATGGAGACGGGAGGGGGTTGGGGTGATCTGAAGGTTAAATATCAGGTTTTTCAAAGTGTCAAATACTGAAGATGGAGTATGTATTTAGTAGTTCTAGACAAAAAACAATCTCTTTTATTGATCACGTACGGCTGTTTGCTCTTAATTGACCACCAACTTTGGCAAGTTGTGTAAAGATGATACACTCGACTTGGTCCTAAATAATTTGTATACTCGCCCCGGAACATGCATTTCAAAACACGAGTCGCAAAAGAGCAAAATGCACGTGCGAAAGCCTCCGAGTCATATTAAATACAGTAATGGAAACACTATTGTTTCAACATTTTAGGCGCTAAGGTTCTGTGAATGTTGGTCCTGATTGATGCCACTCGGGACCCTGATGTCAATCGATGAAATTCTTAGTGAAAGGACATCGTCTTCTCCTGTTCTAACATTTAATGAAATCCTGTTTGAAACGGTGTTCAATAAGAGCTGTAAAAACTGTATGAAACACTCATACAATACCCATATATCGATATCTAATAACATAAATTATTTATAAATTTAAAATACAAATTGTTTTTTGGGAAGTTCAAGTACAAAATTCTGCTACAACAGCAGTGCTATTCTTGGTAAAACCCAAAAGTTAAATGTCCCGTGTGGGATTTTCTTGGGGCATGTCTCAAAAGGATTAAGGATTGAAGTATTTTTAATCAAACTTTGAATTATTAGACTTCTCCCTAAGTAAAGAACTGTGATAAAGATAATTTATACGCCTTGGCCAAGTCAATCTGCACAGTACAAGGTTGCTCATAGTGAATGGAAGGCCGTTTACACTCTCCTACCCAGAGCTCCATGCGGTCAGCATAGAGCCTTTGCCACCGGGCATCGCCATGTGATGATTCGTCACATCTTACACACTCCATTCAAGGTATTGCATTTGTTTGACATAGGATTCATTCTTGAAACATCTATACATTTAGATAAACATGTGTCCTAGAATGGTAAACTGTCTTTGTGAAAATATCCTAAAACGTGAAAATCAATTTCCATCTGCGCAATTATCCGTTGTTTACAATGGTTTTACAGCTCCACGTGCTGTCATCGAAGACCAACGGAGAGTTAGCAATATGGTCACTTTGATCCATAAAGATATATTCTCATGCACCTCACTGTCGCAGTTGTAGTAGCATATCTATATAATTATGCAAAACAATATGAAAAGCGCACCGAAAGGCTTGCGTCAGGCCAGTCTGTTGTTTTCAGAATAAGCGTTTTATTTTCAAGCAAGAGAAAAGTCCGGTCACGTGATATGCAAATTAGCCTGTGGCAGTGGTGTGATGTGTCACCATTGCGCCGGAGCGTGCGCTATTTGCTGTGCAGAGCTACGTCATAGCATTGCCAGAAATGTGGGATCGAGGGTTCAAACCCAGCTTTTAGGTTTGTCAGCACCAAACCTGTTCTCATGGGCTGAAGCAAAGGGGAACGTCTGGGACCTGCATCACTTCAAGCTTTCTTCAAAACCAAGTTGATCCTCAGTGATGAGTGAAACACTGCTCAAAGCATTCGTGACCAACTCGTGTTATTCCGGGACAAGCCGAATAGCGACTCGTGCCCCTCACATGGCCATTTTTACGACCGGGTTCCGTCTTAGCGCAAACGGGCATACCTAAAACAATTGTCTTCACATATCTTTCCCCATATATAATATATATTTCAGATGCAATTTAAAGTACATCGGGACATGCGGAATTATACAGTATGATTGAACACATTTAACTGTGCCTTGGGTATATTTTTAGATGCAAGCCATATATAAAATCAAAAAATATTTCAGAGGGATTCTTTGATGAAGAACGCGTATTCTGATTGGTTTGTCGCATTTTCGCACATAACATTCATCGAAAGGGGGACGAGTCTTCTTGCAGGTTACGGAAAGGGGCGAGTGGTGACGAATGATCAAAGCTGGGTAAAACTGAACTCACTTATGATAATAAGAACTAACATGGGATAGGGTGTTCAGGCTCCATGAGATGAGGGTTGTGTGCTGTCATACCTTAACGGTATGTTACGATGATCATACTATCAACCCCTGGTTTGACGTGCCAAAACTGATTACATGCGACACGGGTGGAATATTTAGTAAATGGGGACTGCATGTCAATCCTGTTATCCTGATGGCTTTGTCCGTTGCTCATAATATCAATCACTGTTTGTCTCGATTATTTACAGGCTGCTGTCACATAGCTGAAACCCCATCTACCCGAGGCAAGTGAGTTAACTGACTATTAAAGTCCAGTTTCCACTTTTAAAGTCAGTTAACTCTCTTGCCTCGGGAAGATGCTGAAACCCAGGTGTGGCCAAGTGCTGTGTTAACAAAAAGCAAAACATGACACAACACAATCTGACAGCCATGCTAAAAAATGTAACCCAGGATGCTTTTAAGCAAACTTGGGATACTTTAAACCCTTTCTACCCTGGAATCACCAAGAGGATTTAGACATCTCATCAATAATAATCACACAGGGATAATGAAAGACAAACATAATCTGTTTTTATTATATTTTACTTGCCATAAATACTACATGTTACATGTCAACACATTCAAAATTTACTGAAATCACAAACAATAATCTGTTAGGAACCCGATGACTCAATATTCTTTACAATTTTCAGGATATTCTTGGCTTGCAGTAGTAAAGGCATGTCGATCATATTTCCGTGAAAGGTGAAAGCCCCCTGAAATATGCAAAATCATATCTGTGTTATTGAGCTGTGAGGGAGAGTGAATAACGTTTTATTTTCACTTGGAGGAATTTTCAAGAACTTATTAATTCACATGGTTCATAGGCAAGTTAAGAAACTGATTCAGAAAGGCTCCAAGCCTTCATGTGCAAATTACTGTGCTAGCCAAATATTAAAACGCTATTCTATTGTCAAATGGGCAACCCCAAAATGAAAAAGAAACGTTTCTGTTACATATATGCTCATTTTAACCATAAATACGCCTTAATTTCAAACACAATTTTAATCAAATATAATACTGCCCTCATAATTATCCATGCTAACAGACACGCACAAAATGGGTTGTCAGATTGTAATTTTATATTCATTGGTCTTCGTACCTAGCTGACATCAATCTTCATTGATGAATAAAATTAAGAACTGTTTCCTCCTATATTTCATATCTAAGGATATCTGTCATGGTCATGCTAAGGTCCTCCATCACCCGAACCATGCTTGCCGTAAAAGTCAACAATGCTTAGGTTATCAACTTTAATTTTAGGTGTTCAAATAGTCCCAGTTGGTGTTTACATAGGAAATTCATGTACTTATGAGTGAGACACAAGATTCGGGTTAGAATAGGTCATCAGCAACTCATGCTTGTCGTAAGAGGCGACTAACAGGATCGGGTGGTCAGGCTCGCTGACTTGGTTGATGCATGTCATCGTATCCCAATTGCATGGATCGATGCTCATGATGTTAATCACTGGGTTGTCCGGTCCAGACACTATTATTTACAGACCGCCGTCATATAGCTGTAATATTGTTGAGTGCTATGTAACATAACAATCCAACCAACCAACCAACCTCCATCACTGGTGAAGATATATGGTTGCATTGTAGGGTAGTAACTAATTATAACCAACAGATTTAGCCACAGCAAGGTCTCCTGACAAAAACTAGCGAGCACTCTGACCAATTAGCACACTCAGATTACACTGCTAAACAGCAATGGTTTGCACCCTAAACAGCAACAAAGTTTTTGATAGACATTTAGAAGTTGGAAGAAACTGAATACATGACACTTTTTGTGGACAGTAATGAGACAACAGAACTCGCTGCTTCGGGTAAACGTTATTCGTTAGAATTTCATGATACAACTGACAAAACTCTATAATTACAACTGTCAACTTCTCCGATACGATTTACTATCATAACACAAGAACTTCCGGAATGAGAGTTATCTCCCTTACATCAATAGCAACTTCTTTTATTCTTTGTCAGGGCTATAAGAATGATTCACCCGATGAAGCAAGAAGTTGTTCTGAAACGTCGTAACAAAGAATAAAAGAAGTTGCTATCCATAAAAAGCAATAATTCCCCAAAACAACAATAATTCCCCAAAACAGCAATAATTCCCATAAACAGCAATAATTCCCCAAAACAACAATAATTCCCATAAACAACAATTCCCCCAAAACAGCAACAATTCCCCAAAACAGCAACAATTCCCTTAAACAGCAATAATATCCCCAAACAGCAATAATTCCCCCAAAACAGCAATAATTCCCCCAAAACAACGATGATTCCCACAAACAGCAATAATTCCCCACAAACAGCAATAATTCCTCAAAACAGCAATAATTCCCATAAACAACAATAATTCACCAAAACAGCAATAATTCCCCCAAAACAGCAATAATTCCCAATAACAGCAACAATTCACATAAACAGCAATAATTCCCCAAACAACAATAGTTCCCCTAAACAGCAATAATTCCCAACAACAATTCCCATAAAAAGCAACAATTCCCAAAAGCAACAGCAATTCCCCAAAACAGCAACAATTCCCACAACCAGCAACAATACCCACAAACAGCAATAATTCCCATAACCAGCAACAATTCCCCCAAACAGTAATAATTTCGATAAACAGCAATAATTCCCACAAACAGCAATAATTCCCATAACCAGCAACAATTCCCATAAACAGCAATAATTCCCCCAAACAGTAATAATTTCGATAAACAGCAATAATTCCCCAAAACAGCAACAATCAAAAAATAACTTCTTGTGGAACATGTGCTACAGCCAAGCAGCCACAAACTCTGACACTGGTTCAAAATCACCTAACACTAGCAATCACAAAAGTCCCTGCAAGGATTAAAGGGCTTATTGGACTTCCATAATTTCTGCATGGCCTTATTTCACTGCTTGACTTAACATAGACACGCGTCACTTCTACACTGCAGTACTGCTCTATCTATTCACGAGGAGGGGAGGAACATAGTTCATACAAACTAGTGATATATTGATGACGACTATCTGAAAGACAAGACAAAATATTGGTCTGAAAATAAAGAACATACAGTCAAGTCTCGTTAATCCAACACTCGGCTTTATCCGACACTAATGATGGGAACCGATTGATTCAGTGCTATGTAGTCCCATTAATCTGACATTCTGGCACTCCGACTCCGACACACCTAATTTGCAACGAATTACCAAAATCACTCATTTATCAGTCTCGTTAATCCGACACAGTGGTCAGCGTACTCCGTGGTCATCTGCCCACGAGTACACAACCCCGTGTTTTGACATGCACTGGCTGCAGAGATTAACTTAACAATTAACAGGAAGAGCTATTCAATCCTGTATGTACAAAGCTATTCAAATGTAGTTTACAAATTGAAGCCAGATAAATGTACATGAAGCCAGTTTAAAATGCAAACATGTATCTACAACATTATTTTCTTCATCTTACAGGTGGTGCCTCAGAGTCAACCATATGATCAGCTGAGGTTGTGAGACTCGGACAACTTGATATCAAAATGTCCACCCTCCACCTCCTGTTCAAATCCCAACTTGATGATTTCGATTTTTTTTTTTTCGCAAATTTGTGCACAATTTGTATGTATTGAAAAGAAATTTCCAACTTTCAGGTACTTCACAACGGCACATACTATTATGTGGTATTGAACACACCACTAGAACTAGATATACATCCTATATAACTATCCCCTGTCATGGGTCACATTAGAATTTTGTTTGTTCATATAGTAATTAATATACACTGAGAAAGGGAGGTAACTCCAGAACAAAAACATTACGGCATCAGTCTTGACAAGTTCACTGGAACTTTTTTGGAATAACCTAACTGCAAACACTAATGAAATGATTAATCCCACTGCAAGGAGGTAGGCTGGTTCTGGTGCCACTTGTAAATTGTGGCTTGTGGTTTGTTTGTTTTTCACCATTCAACATAGATCTTGTACAAGTTCCTTTGTCAAGTGTTAATTGTTTTTGTCATCTTAATGAGGATGTTATGGCAACAGTTCTCAGACAACCCTGACTACATCTTTCTGTAGGAAATCCAAAATAGCATGACAATTTCAGTACTCTGTTAATTTGGGTATAAAGTTTCATGGATATTATATGAAAAAAATTATGTATATATGCTTCAGAAATGAAGACTACAAACCCTCTGTTTTTAACTTGCGCTCTGGTAATGAAAGTAACCTGTCCTACTTGTTGCCAAGGAAACAGCAAAAGGCACCAATTCAGAATGTGTTTGATACATATGTAAAGTTTCATAATTTAATATTAAACCATTTTTGAGTTATCATATGCAAAATTTCAAATTAAATATGAAACAGTTTCCGAGTTATGCTCCAGGAATGAAATGAAAATGTGACAGATGGATGGACAGACAGACAGCACCCATTCCAAAATCCCCCTCCCACCTCGTGACAGGGCATCACAACACATGGATTTGTGATGTGCTATGATACATAAAGCTTACAGTGAGTGAGTGAGTTGGATTTAACACCGCTTTTCACAGTATTCCAGTTACATCACGGCGTGTCAGCTTAATGTGAGAGGAAAGCCCGAAGTGATGCAGGTCTCAGACGTTTATCACTTCGGTGAAACCCACGAGCACGGGTATGGTGCTGACAAACCATGAAACATAATCGGGGCGAACCGGGATTCGAACCCACAATCATAGGTTTCTGGCGTGCCCAAGGGACGCAACTCTGCACAGCGAATCGCGGCGCCTTAGACGACTGGGCCACCCGTGCCCCCATGAAGCTTACAGGCACAGAGTGTATTCAAAGATCATTGGTGTGTGGAAAAGTAAGCGTTAGTCACAAATTATAATTGTTTTGACACACACTTGGTGCATGAACACCAGTGTGCCTGGTGCTTTGTTATTGTGATTTCATATTGTTGTGTATTTCACTGTGTTTTAATGATTAAATAAGCAGTCTGCGAAGTTATTACTGTTGACACGTTTATTAATAACAATTGAATTCACTACATGTTTATGTTTATAGAGTTGTAAACACAAAAACAGGTATGAACACTTTGTGTAAATCTGGATTTACAGGTTTTTTATGGTTATACCTCCAAAAACGCAAAAATTATTTAAATCAATGTATTAAAGAGGTAAAATCTTATGCATATTTTTTACATATCCACATATGATATGACACAACCTCTGAACATCCACGGTAGATGAGGTCTTCAGCAATCCATGCTTGCCATAAAATGAAACTTTCCTTGTAAGCAGTGACTAACGGGATCGGGTGGTCAGATTGCTGACTTGGTTGATGCATGTCATTGTATCCTAACTGTATGGATCGATGCTCATGATGTCTATCATTGGATTGTCTGGTCTGGACTCGATTATTTACAGACCGCTGTCAGGAACTGAATTCCGCCGACTGGAATTTTGCTGAGCGATGTGTTAAACAGGAAACAAACAAACATATGACACATGATTGTGACCAGTGTCCAAGATTCAACCAATACCTCCTATCTAGACCTGCATACCTTGCCCGAGTCCTGGTGCTGTTCAAATGCTGCAACCAGCTCCATCGCCCACTGCACTCGCTCTCCACTCGGAGTGAAGGCATCGCGAACAGTGGAGACCTGACCGGGATGGATGACCTGTTTCCCAGTGTACCCCAACCTTGCCCCCTCCAACGACTGATGTCGGAGAGACTCTGTGTCTGGAAAGAGACCACATCTGTAACACCCTGGACCACATCTTCCTCAATAAACTAAGGCCATACTTTTTAAATTTTATGTTTGACGGATTCATTCCTGTTTTTCATTTTTTATTGAGGATCTATATTATTAGCAGGAGACATAATAAAAATAATATTTTTATCTTTAATTTATTTCTTTTCAGTATGCTTTTCAGAAGGGGCTTCGAGCCTGTGAAACAAAAAATAAAAAAGATGTGGCCTAAACGTTGTGGTATATTCCTATGAGGAGTGGACAATTTGATATATTCTTGGGGCCTGGCAATTTTTAAAAAAAATAAAAATATCCTGTTCCCAAACATTGGCAGGCAGTTGTTTTGGACACTGGGGGCATTAACAACTAACATTGACTGGGGACCTATATGGCCCCAGAATCCCAACAGGATAGTATAATGGAGAACTACCTTTGATATCAATGAACACCAGGTCAATGGCCTGCAGTCGGAACGCCTTGGCCACCATCACCACCTTCTGTCTGGCGTAGGTCAGTTCCCTTGCATCAGTCGTCCTCACTGCTCCTGGTACAGAGAACACATACACTGTAGTCTCTCTGCCAATACATACCATACACTAAATATAAGCAACAAAACCCTTTATATAACCACAAGAAATGTTCACCATCATACTTTGACTCTTATATAAGCATCTGTCTAGGAATGACTATCAATTGATGAATCCAGGTGTTGGCGAAGAGGTGAGTGTATCCTGCCCCACCGGTGATACCCATCACAAACACATGCAAAGGCAAGTCAAATGTTCACCCGAACACATGCTACTTTTGAAGCCAACTTCCTTTGAAGGCTGCTACAGAAATTCTCTTGGCACTAAGGGGCTGGTGCTAGAGAATTTCCCTTGGTGCCAATGTTTTGGCCAAAATTCAATGTACGCTGTCCAATAGATTTTCTTCATAATTTCAACCTCTACAATCCTATGCTGTGTAAATGAAACACAAACAAGCCTTAACTTGGTTGGATGTTGATCTCAGTGATGGTTGTGTTGGTAGTCGATAGTTGCCCCTGGTTTCAGCAGATTCTATATTATTTGACAAATATTTGTAACAGGTCGAGGAGAACATCAACGAGTGTGTTGATTGTGATAATGACTCAAAAGAGTGAGTGAGTTGGGTTGAACGCCACTTTTAACATTATTCCAGTTATATCACAGCGTGTCAGCTTAATGTGGGAGGAAAGCCCGAAGTGATGCAGGTCTAAGACGTTTACCACTTCGGTGAAACCCACGAGCACGGGTACGGTGCTGACAAACCTAGAAACATAATTGGGGCGAACCGGGATTCGAACCCACAATCATAGGTTTCTGGCGTGCCCAAGGGACGCAACTCTGCACAGCGAATCGCGGCGCCTTAGACGACTGGGCCACCCGTGCCCCCGACTCAAAAGAAGTACCAGGAGCCACAGTAGTGGTTCTATCCTCCACATAGCAATAAACAATATTAGTTCCTAGGATGACAACAGAGCTGTCATTAAGTCAGGTGGTTTTGTGAACTTATCAAATTCAAAAGGCCTTACTAGAAATTCAGTCCCTGTCAAATCTGTTAAGTTCCATCAGCAAATGTCTCACGAAAATCTGCACAGTAGTTGTCCAAGCAAAACACAAATTTAAAAAGCATTATTCAAAATTCGTTTCTGTCAAATCGATTAAGTTCCATCAGCAAATTTCTCACCAATATCTGCACAGAAGTCGTCTGAGCCAAACACGACACCGTCCATGTGGAACACACCCTGTGTTGAGTACTGTCTGGCCTTCTGTAGGACGTCCTGCATGTTTAGGACGCCCTGGGCACTCTCCACATAGGTCAGCAGGTATGGACAGTAGCCCTTGTGGTCAGCAGTCACAGCTCGCAGGAGGTCAGTGAACTGCAGCACACAGAAGACACATAATTATATCAAACAAGCTTCCTATTTCATGTAGAGTTTGTGTCCCAGGTGGAATGATATTTACATAGCAAGGGACAGAAAACACTAGTGTCAACAGGGACATAGACTTGTTTGACATGGGAACATACTTAGTACCGACAATGATTTATAATCAATTATCAACAAAGTGTCTGTGTGTCTTTATAATGAGAGAGTATGGTTTTACGCCGCTTTTAGCAATATTCCAGCAATATCACGACGGGGGACACCAGAAATGGGCTTCACACATTGTACCCATGTTGGGAATCGAACCCGGGTCTTCGGCATGACGAGCGAATGCTTTAAACACTAGGCTACCCGACCGCCCCGTCTTTATAATGAGAACATGAAGTGCGTGTGTATGAAGAACAAGCATGCAAATTGTAAACATGCGAGATGGACCACTTCCGACATATAATAACATCCAAGTGAACTGAACATAAGAGCGACTGCTGAAGTATTTAGGAAATCAGAGCGTATGGAAGACTTTTGTCAACAATAACTGCCTCTGATTCCCTTTTTGTGATATAGCCTTAACTTGGATCAATGAAACAATGTTTTAGTTAAACTGACTTAAATAATTTGATTTTCCTTTGTGCCGCTTGGCAAGCAGCTACTTCAACTTTTTGGGCGGTTCATATGATTGTGTGTTCACACAGTGCGCTAGTTTTAGTTCATAGCAGTAGAAAATATTGACGTGCACAAAATTGTCTTACACAAAATTCACTCAACCTCTGACCTGTGACCTACACAAAATTCACTCAACCTCTGACCTGTGACCTACACAAAATTCACCCAACCTCTGACCTGTGACCTTCACAAAATTTACCCAACCTCTGACCTGTGACCTACACAAAATTCGCCCAACCTCTGACGTGTGACCTACACAAAATTCACCCAACCTCTGACCTACACAAAATTCACCCAAAATCTGACCTGTGACCTACACAAAATTCACCCAACCTCTGACCTGTGACCTACACAAAAATTCACCCAAAATCTGACCTGTGACCTACACAAAATTCACCCAACCTCTGACCTGTGACCTACACAAAATTCACCCAACCTCTGACCTGTGACCTACACAAAATTCACCCAAAATCTGACCTGTGACCTACACAATTCACCCACCCACTGACTTTTGTTTGTATGTTTGGTAGGTTTTGTTTGTTTATGCCGCACTCAGCAATACTCCAACTACATGACGGCGGTCTGTAAATAATGTAAATACATCATGAGCATCAATCTATGCATTTGGGATACGATGACATGCATAAACTAAGTCAGCAAGCATGACAACCCGATCCCGTTATTCACCTCTTATAACAAAAATCGCCTCTTACAGCAAGCACGAGTTGCTGAAGACCTATTCTAACCCGGATCTTCACTGACTTGTGACCTACACACAATTCTCCCACCCACTGATATGTGACCTACACACAATTCACCCACCCACTGACCCCTGACCTACACACAATTCTCCCACCTACTGACCCCGGACCTACACACAATTCACCCACCCACTGACCCCTGACCTACACACAATTCTCCCACCCACTGACCCCGGACCTACACACAATTCACCCACCCACTGACCCCGGACCTACACACAATTCACCCACCCACTGACCTCTGACCTACACACAACTTACCTGCGTTAGATCTTCTACAGTGTCCACTTTAGGCAGGAGTATTGTTTGAGGTAGCCGGTCAGCCTTGAAGATGACCTTCAAATCCTGTTCCATCAGACCACTGGAAACAGAGTTGACTCGGAGTGCACAGTCCACGCCTGAGAAGTCCACTTCATCCAGCATCTGACGGATGTTCTCTCTAGCTTCAGCCTAAAACATAAATTAAAGAAATGTGGTGAGGTGAGGTGAAATGGGGTTTAACATCGCGTTTAAGATTGTTGCACTTATATAGCGACATGCATACACATGTGTGTGTGTGTGCCTGCTTGTATTACTCTGGACTAATGCCGATCTCATAGTGCTAGCCCACTGAGATATCATGCAGTTTAACATGAATACCCCACTCAGACACAGTATACTGACTCCGAGCCGACCAGTCCTTGTTTTAGCTCCTTAATATCAAGCGTCAGGCAATGTAACAACAAGTACCATCTTTTAACGTCTTTTGGTATGACAATGCCGGGGATCAAACCCCTGACATTCGGCTCTCCGGGCAGATGCTCTTCCACTTGACCACAGAGTCAAGAAATAAAGATGTCACGTGATAAATAAAGTGATAGCCTCAAGCAGGGTATCAGTGAACAGATTCACTTGATCCATTAAGATGCTTCTTTGAACAAGCTAAGGCATCACTAGAGTGGAAGATCGCCGCATCATTTCAAAAGACGTAAAAAGATGGTACTTGTTGTTACCCTGCCAATCACTAGACATTGTGGATAAAACAAGGACAGGTTATGTCACATCACCTTACATCATACCCCAAGTATACATTTCTCATGAATTATTCTATCCCAGAATTCCCGAGATTATTCAACTGGTTTGAGCAAGTGGGTGCGTGCAGTTACTCACATGACAATCAACCACTCTGGCCGTTCAAAACACAACCACAACTATAAATAGACTGGTAAGGTTGTGATTTTACAAAGCCGATGATTTATACTGTGGGTCCCAAAGAACCGCAAAACAGTATGGCTGTTTGACTAATTAAATTTATAAACATTGCAGCTTGCATGTTACACCTAACTTGACAACAGGATGTCAGTCACAGGTTGAATTTCATCAACCTAAATTGAAACCAGGGGTCCGGAAACCGTCATATGCGCCGGACATGTCCGATTGGGAATCTCAAATGTCCGGTTTAAAATATTGCTTACCGGACATTTAAATGTTTCTGTCCGGACATTTTAAAAGTATTGTCCGGACATTCTTAAATTTTGACCGGACATGATCAACAGTTAGAACTGAGCAGTTGTAACACAATGAAGATTATCTACACTGACAAGCTTTGTTTGTTATGATGCTGTAAATACATCGTACCTACATGATAGTCCAATCGGTCAATCACTGTAATAGGCAATAAACTGAGTTGACACTGATTAATCGAGGATTAATTACTGAGAACATCTTGTTAATTTGAGTGAAAGGTGTTTACAACTGTACATAAATACCTTGCATCATTGATGTACCTCATTATCAACATAATGCTACGATACGTAACCTCAGACAAGCGAAAGCGTGACGACATCCAGCCAGAAACTCTTAATTATGACCAACCATGAGATAAGGGACCTTATGTGTGAAAAATCATGTTTCGAGGTCATAATATTTTAAAACTACAGCATCTTCATAACACAAAAATACAATTCACAAGCTTCATCAGAGCTCCAGATAAGCTGCGTATCTGCGTAAAATACGAATCAGAAATGCTGAAATATGCAGTAAAATAAAATTCAAGCGTATCAAATACACAACGAACATTACAGATACGCTACAAAAATAAAACTTGTGCATATCATCAAAATGTTTAGAAGTAACCCAGTGTATTCGATTAGCAAATCAGCAACTTATTTTGAAATTACAAACGGGCATCCCGTCAACCTTGCCAAACTCCACGATGACAGTTACATCATGATCATTTGCCATCACACTTTCTTGTGGAAGTATCGTGGTATTTTTTAGTCCTATAAAGCTCTCGAACCCAGGGACTAGATGAATAGTGTTTTTTTAAATATTTAACTTAAATACCCACATGTGTAAAAACTAGTGGGTAACAGAAATTTGAATACCCAGATAGAATTACTGATACCCAATGATTTTAAAATGCATGGGTAAAATACCCACAACACAATTCATAATTATTACAGAGATACATGACAACTCAAAAGGGGATCTTCTCGGAAGAAAGTTGACCTCAAATGTCTTTATGACGTCATAGTACAATTGACCACCTCCGTGGTCTAGTGGTAGGGCTGGGACGGGTAACTCGGGTACCCGGGACGGGTGGGTGAGTAGGACCCGGGTACCCACAGGACTACCTGGACCCGTGGTTAGTCACGTGATATATTGTTTAATGACAAAAATTATGTAGGACTCTATGGTTACGCTACAAGTCACTAATGTTCGCATTTCTTTCTGACTATGCACCCATTCCCTCTGACTTTTCATATGGTTGAATAAAGATATAACTTACATCAACCTCAGCGTATGCATGACCAGATCGTTAAATACATGTATCTCAATACGTTTTGCAAGTGTTGTGATGAAAAAATCTCAATCAGACATTTTGTATCACTTCAGACCTACAGTGGGTACCCGGGTAGGGTCGGGTAATAGGGGGATGGGTACCCGGGTAGTAAATTTGGACTCGTCCCAACCCTATCTAGTGGTAGAGCATCCCTTCGGAGAGTGGAAGGCCTGGGGTTCGATCCCAGGCCGCGTCATACCAAAAGACTTTAAAAGATGGTACTCTTTACCTGGCGCTCGGCATTAAGGGGCTAAAACAAGAACTGGTCGGCTCAGAGTCAGTAAACTGTGTTTGAGTGGGGTATTCATGTTAAACTGCGGCATGGTATCTCAGTGAGTTAGCACTATAAATCACCTTCAGTCTGGACTAGTACAAGCAGCCACACAAACACACACACATACATGCACATTGCTATATAAGTGCAATAATCATGGACGTGACGTTAAACCCAATTTCACCACCTCATAGTACAATTGTACCCTAACACATAAGGCTTAAAAAAAAAAATTGGTTTCAGGCAATGACTTTTGAAAAAATAGTAACCATATAAACAGTTGTGTACGATCAACCTGAAAAAGGGCCTCCCAAAATAAATAAGCATACAAACTCCTACTGCCACCATGACCATAACACGAGATGCGTAGTAACGCACTGCACATGTAAAGGGAATTAACTGTGTGCTATATTGGATCACGCTGTTCTTAGTATTAGGATTTTTAAATTTTTTACTTTATGATGATGCAGATGGTGCCTGAGAACCAAGACTATTATTTTTTTAGCCTGAGGTCCCTTTTCTCCTAGTGGGTCACAATTTATAACAGACTCAGGCTTCTGACCAGGTGTCAGTATATTACATCAGTAAATTTCCTGTAATCAAATGAAGCATGCCACATATGCATTGGGCTACAACTTTGTCACCGAGAGTCCTAAGACCTAAGGAATAGAATGACCCGGGTAAATTCCTATCTACCTTCTTATTAAGAGCCACTCCATCTTCGCACTCCAACACAGCACAATCCACTCCGAGATTCGGGACTTTCCGCAACTTCTTCACATCATGTCCAGGAACATACATGAGGGTCCGCCGCGGAATGTACGGCCGCTCGTGGTAGGCTTCTGCCCTGTCTGAGTAGCATCGGTGTGGGACCAAGCAGGGCGGGGCACGGGTGGCTGAGGGGGTGAGTATTGGGGGTACACGGGTCGTCTGTGATGCACACACCCTGGGAGTCTGTGACATCAGTTGCTTCACACAACCACTTAGAGTTGAAATAGTCCTCATCTTCATCTTTTCAATATCGGAAAAAGAGTGAGTGAGTGAGTGAGTATGGTTTTACGCCGCTTTTAGCAATATTCCAGCAATATCACAGCGGGGGACACCAGAAATGGGCTTCACACATCGGGAATCGAACCTGGGTCTTCGGCGTGACGATCGAACGCTTTAACCATTAGGCTACCCGACCAACCCATCGGAAAAGAGTACTCATCATCAAAAAGTTCATGACATGACAAATTTAATACATCTCAATTCAAATTAATACCATATTTCCGCTACTAGACGCGCAGGCGTCGATCAATTTGGAGCAAGCTGTTGACACAGCGTCTATTAGAGGCCTGGCAACCATTCTGGCTAATGCTGGCACAGTGGCAACTCACTACCTTATCGAATCCCAAATTCTACAGTCATAAAAAGAGTATATTTGCAGGAAAGTCTATATGCCATACACTATATGCCATATATTAAGTTAATGTGATAGGGATTATTAATTTCATCAAATGCTGGATCCGATGATTAATTCTCATTGTTAAAATGGCAACTAGTATACTAGACAGAAAACCCTACTCGGGATTAGGGATTATCTGTCTCGAGAGAAATGATGCTGTTCCAGTGATCATGTCACGACAGTGTTTAGATCTAGGCCTTGTAGGCTGACATGCTCGAGGCTACAGCCAACACCACACAGGAAACACTTTTCGGTCGCGGGACCGGCGTAATACATCGCATTCTCTCACTACTTACCCCTTGGAGTCAGGCTTATCAAAGCCGCCCCACCAGCATCTGATTTCTTGACTTGACTACCAGCAATTGGGGGTTAATCAAGCTCCTCACAGCGATATCCCGTTCGCGGAGCTCTCTATACTATCGCTGCGATGTTACCGAGAGTGCAGCGAGGGTGTCACACGCTATGAAGGTGCTTGGGGTTCTTATTCATTCTTTTTGCTCGGCAGACAAATCCTGAACTCCGCGGCCATGCATTGAAGGGATATAATTTGAGAGTTACCTCCCGTGGACCATGACGCTTCCAAGCTCCTTCCCAGCGCGTGACACCTTCGTTACACTCTCGGTAACATCACAGCGATAGAGCTCCGCGAACGAACTATTGCTGTGATGAGCTTGTTAAGCTTCACGCGAAGCGTTTCGCTGTTTTAAAAACCGAACGCACGTAATGTATCGGATGTTTAGGTGTTGTTTTTTTGTTGTTGTAAATAATAATTTATTCCAGGAAATGTTGAAAATTATATTTTAATAGTTACTGATTTCGTGGATCTTCTGTAGTATAAGATCAGTTTTATAAGCCATAGCCGAAAAAGGGCTCCGTCACTTGATGAGAGAAAGTTGAACAGTGTCTGTAGATCTATGGTTGTGAGGGAAATGTGTCAGTATTTTTAATTTCTAAAATGTGACATTGACTAAATGTTGAACTAGCTATAGGTCACCTGGCGGCCTTTTCACCAAGCAGCCTTAGCAAAGACAAATCTTAATGACTTAATTACGACACAAATTCCGACTGCCATACGACATACTCTTGAAGGTATTCTGTCAAACAACAGATAGTCTAAATGCTACCCAGTGAAATGATTCAACGAATATTTAATTTTTAAAAACAGTTTGTTGTTTAGGCCTAATTGAGTGGATCTGATATATGTAAAATGTTTACAAAAAGCTCATTTAATGTCACTATCAATATATATATAGATTATGTAAGAAACTATAATTAAAACTTGTTGAAAATTAATAAAAAATATTTGAAATTGTAAGTTTTTGTTTGGAAATTTAGACCTCCTGACCTGACTTTTGGGGCAAATCATCTGTAACAAACCCCCCCTAAAACATTGTCCTAACTGGCTGGACATAATCGCATGCAGATCTACCCCATAACCTGTGTTCAGTGTGTTCTGAATGTTAACATACCTTTTATCATGTGCTAACAATCCAATTTCATAACAATACAAATACAGTACACCAGTGGGCCAGTAAGAGATGAACCAGAGCTCAAATTTGTTTGTTTGTTTGTTTGTTTTTTGTTTAACGCTGTACTCGGCAATATTCAGGTCGACTCAATGACAACATTTTATGTGTCAGTTAAGTGAGGGAGTTGGTTTTAACGCCGCTTGAACAGTATTACGGTTATATCACGGCGTGTCCGCTTAGTGAGGGATGAAAACCCAAAGTGATGCAGGTCTCATACATTTACCACAATGGTGAAACCCACGAGCAGGCCGCTGAGAAACATCGAAACATAATCGGTGCGAACCGGGATTCGAACCAACGATCATAGGTTTCTGGGATGCCTAAGGACCTCAGCACAGCTAATTGCGGCGCCTAAGATGACTGGGCCATCCATGCCCCTGTATGTGATGAAGATTGTTTTTTGTTTAACGCCGCACACAGCAATATTCCAGATATATGACGGCGGTCTGTTATTATCCAGTGATTGACATCATGAACATCGATCTACGCAATTGGGATACGATGACATGCATCAGCCAAGTCAACAAGCCTGACCACCCGATCCCGTTAGTCACCTCTTACGACAAGCATGGGTTGCTGAAGACCTATTCTAACCCAGTTTCCAGCTATATGACGGCGGTCTGTCAATAATCGAGTCTTGACCAGACAATCCAGTGATTAACATCATGAGCACCGATCCACACATTCGGTTGATTGGTTTCTTTAACGTCGCACTCAGCAATATTCCAGCTTTATGACCACGGTCTGTAAATAATGGACTAGACAATCCAGTGATTGAAATCATGAGGATCGATCCATTCAATTGGGTTCGATGACATTCATTAACCAAGTCAGCGAGCCTGACCTCCCGATCCCGTTAGTCACCTCTTGCGACAAGCATAGTCGCCTTTTTCGACAAGCATGATTTGCTAAAGACCTGTCCTACCCCGGATCTTCACGGGTCCACCCAATTGGGATACGATGACTTGCATCAACCAAGTCAGCGAGCCTGACCATCCGATCCCGTAAGTCGCCTCTTGCGACAAGCATAGTCGCCTTCTACGACAATTCACGGTTTGTGCCCATGGGGGGAATCGAATCCGGGCACTCGGCGTGACGACAAAACGCTTTAACCACCACAAGGCTACCCTCCCTCCCCTCCCCCATTATCATCTGAATCATTGAATACTTGAAACTGAACTGGAATGTAGTGATGAACCCAGCAATTTGGTCTCTTTAAAATTGGCACAAAATATATACATTCTGAGGGACCGACTATATGAATTTCGCTGATGAGTATCTTTGATATCTTATCTTGAAATCAATAAATTTGCTCTTTTAGGCATAAATTAAAACATTTCAAATATGTTAGGGTCATGTGGTTGCAAGTTCATTTCCTACCCTTCTTCGAACCAATATATTTTTACACAAAATTATCCAGCCACAGAGGGGCGGTCGGGTAGCCTAGTGGTTAAAGCGTTCGCTCGTCACGCTGAAGACCCGGGTTCGAATCCCGACATGGGTACAATGTGTGATAATCCTGGAATATTGCTAAAAGCGGCGTAAAACCATACTCACTCACTCACTCCAGCCACACATTACGTTTATGGTGATGATTGAATAGACATTATCAAATTTAACAACAGTTCTTTCAATAATTTTCCATTACATGATAACACAAACTCGTAGACTCTCCTTTGACCCCAGGTTAATGCGTTATTGCTCGGGTGGTACTTTATACATATTGTTCATAATTCTTTGATAATTTCTTTTTCATAATCATCATTTTGATTAAAATGCATTTAAAAGTTAAGGCGCTTGGCAACTCGTGATCGTCCATCCACTGTATTACATCTCCATTCTATTATGATGAATACCGCTAAAAATAACCATTTATTGTTACAAAATTATTTGCGAAATTTGGAACAAAATCCAAGCCATATTACGGAGAGGGGCGTCAAAATCGACTCTACATGGTGTACCCATGTGGTGGACTGGTGTGACGAGTCAACGCTTTTACCTCGCTAGACAAACCCCACCGCCAATGGCTTTGTCGGTTAAGATTATTTATATAAACAAATGTCAAATCAGGTTAGAAGTGTTGTTAATTTCATGCAGGTGTTCACCAGAATAGTCACGTGATGTCATAGTGACGAATTTAGCCAATCGGGAAACACTTCCGTTGCACGAGCTTTTCCTGCGCGTAATCCAGACTCAATGGATCGAAGCAGACGACGCTTACTTTATCAAATACACCGATGGATGTTAAAGTAATAAAAAAAAGCTGTTTAGAATTCATTTAAAATCGAGATTATAATGGGCTTAGACCCCCATTTCTCATGTTTATATTATCCATGCGCTAGATTGAATGCTGCATTTAAAACTTTGGTATGTTATGTGCATTATGAAGACTTGACGAAGAAACATTTTGCAGCGTGATTCCCTGCCCTGCCGTATGTTTTCACTCTGGAGAGGACGTTGAAAGAAACGACAAGGTAAGTGCAACAATATGTGATTATACAATCTGTTGGTGAATGTATAATTATGTAAACGAATACTCGATGTGGCTGTATGTGTGTGGAGGAGAATTGTCCCATGTTGTCAATGAATGAAACATATTATTTAATGTAAGAATACAGCATGTACATAAAACGTATTGATTCTAAATTCTGTTTCGCAGCAAATACTGTGTATGTATGCATATGTTGTTGGCCAATGTGTGGAGGCGTTGGACAAAATTCTCCTTGTGAAAATTTATTGAAAAAAACTAATTCGGGGTGTGTATAGTGTGCACGACCGGTTTCAAATCTCGACATGGGTACGATGTGTGAAGCCCATTTTTGGTGCCCCCCACCGTGTAATTGCTGGAATATTGCTAAAAGCGGCGTAAAAAACACACTCATTCGTTCATTCATTCATTATCTAAAAGAACTGATAAATGATATACATGTACCACTTGTTCGTACGGGTGGAGTTTAGAAATGGTATATTAACACTGCCTAATTGTGTTGAGGAAGCCGTTATGACGGCAACGAAACTGTTTTCTCTTGTTTACATCACTAGTGTACGGAGAAACCATGTTAAAACGCTCGCTTCTGTGATGAAAATCCGGGTCCTGTACCCAAATTGGGTAAAATGTGTGAAACCCATCCTTGGTCTTCCCGTCGAAATGCGGTTGAAATATAATTATAGTTGTGTAAGTGGTTAAGTTGAAAACACCAACGACATAGGTGTAAGAACATAAATGGCCGTTTTAACCATTCACTGCAGCTCTATCTTGTCCAGCTCCGCTATGAAAGGTGTAGTAACATCAATACATGCTTTTTTCTTTGTGAAACCTGCAAACTGTTGGTTTAATCAACATTATTAACTGCAATAAAAACGATTTTAGCGCCGTCGATTCAACAGTCTTACTCCGACGAGGGTAGTTGTTTGGTCCGCTGTAAGCAATCGCAAACTTAGTACCAGTGTCTGAATAGGGAGGGGTGAGGTTAGGTGTCGTTTTTTCCTTCAAACTTTTATCAACACATCTTCACAAGGTGAGACTTTGCTACATCCATTGACCGACATCTACATGAATACACAGATTTTTAAAGGAAAACGAATTTAGATTCAATATATATGGCAATTGGTTTGTTGGGAATTTTGTTTTGTCAAAGATTAATCTAAAATATTTGCTGTGTATTATATGAAATTTGAAATTGCCGAGAATACTGTTTACAATTTGGAATATAAATTTTGAAATTTTGAAATTAGATACTATTTTATATTGATGTGTTCATCCTCTTGCTAAGTTTAAGAGTTTAAGAGTTGGCGGGGGTAGATAATAGGTCAGATAATATAAGTAATGTGCTGAGTGAGGTTCCAGTTTTAGAGATTACGTAAGAATGGACTTTCACTTTGTGTGAGTTTATTGAAGTTTGAACCTTCAGTTCGTCTCGTTTGATTTAGCTTCAGTTGTTACATCACACTTCCTACAATAACGAGTTTTTATTTTAATGTATTCCATTTAAGACGCGCGACTTCCTATTAAAATGAGTTGTACTTTTAATGTTTTCGAGTTGAGATCCATCTAGATCTCTTGGACGATAC